CTTCAATAAATGGTGCTGGGAAAATTGGACATCCACATGCAGAAGAATGAAACTGGACCACTCTCTTGCACCATACACAAAGATAAACTCAAAATAGATGAAAGATCTAAATGTGAGACAAGATTCCATCAAAATCCCAGAGGAGAACTCAGGCAACACCCTTTTTGAACTTGGCCACAGTAACCGGAGAAGGACAAACAGTGTATGTTCTCATTCATTTGGGGAATATGAATAATAGTGAAAGGGAATATAAGGGAAGGGAGAAGAAATGTGTGAGAAATATCAGAAAGGGACACAGAACATAAAGACTTCTAACTCTGGGAAATGAACTAGGGGTGGTGGAGGGGGAGGAGGGCGGGGGGTGGGGGTGAATGGGTGACGGGCACTGAGGGGGACACTTGACGGGATGAGCACTGGGTGTTATTCTGTATGTTGGTAAATTGAACACCAATAAAAATTAATTTATATATATAAAAAAAAAACAAAAGCACTTCACACTATTTGAATACCACTCATCTTTATAATTAGATTCCTCCTGTTCACATGTTTGTAAGCTCCATGAGTTCAGAATTTTGTTTGTCTTATTCATTGAAACAGTTCAAAAACTTACACTAGCTTCTTCTTTTTTTCCTTTCACTAGGTTCTGATTCATTGCATGTTACCAATAAATATATTTAGGTCAATGTATAAATTACTTAAAAACTTTTAAAAGTAATAATATATGTGTAAAATGTATATTTGCACCTTCACATGTAGCCTAAAATTATCCAAATCTATTGTCCAGCTTGTTTATAAATTCCAAAAATACAAGAATTCTGTCTTTATAGGCATTCTTTGTCCAATGTCTAGTATAGTGTCTCCAGAGTTATGTCTAATTAAGGGGAAAAAAGAAAACAAGCAATTATATACCTTCTGAAAGAACCCAAGTATTGGCAATCCTAATTTCTAGTCCCAAATCACGACCAAGTTGTCTTTAAATTTTCTGTGGAGAACAAAGGAAAACAAAGGACAGTTGGTGTCATTTTCAATTGGGAGACATTTTTTGTATGTTTATTTGTTTATTTGCATTAGGTTACTGATGGGGGAACAGAGGACTAGCTGAGGACAAAGCATATTGACAAGTCCTTGAAACAGGCAGAGTGATATTCCTCTATGGATTCAACTGTCTCAATGTTCATACTTTGCTAAGGGCAGAAGACAATCTTAGCCCAACCCCAGGACCCTGTATGTCTACTTTTTAACATGAAAATTCCTTTATCTCTGAACCCGCCCCCCCCCCAAGATATGTGCTGGCAATCATCCCCCCACGTACATGGCCCACTGATATACATCTGAAGGCTCTCATGACTCAGGTTTTATTAGACGGTAGTAAGTGACCTTTCCCCATCATGGTGCCTGGCCGCTCCTGTTCTGTCACTGATTGACTTTAGATATGTCGTTTAATTTTTTTTCCTGCTTATTTCCTCACCAGTAATATGAGGATGATGGGTCTTAAATCTCTGTTGGGAACCTTGGATGGCAAATGAGAGCAGTATAGGATAACTAAAAATTAAAAGCAGATTCCATGGGGTGTGTGATCTGAGTAGTCAGTGTAAATTAAAAACATTTAGCAAAATTAGGCCGGAATGAACGAGGTGATGGTGCCATCTGCTGGTTTCAATGGGAATTTCAAGACAAGTTAGAGAAAGTTAATCTATTTTATTCACTCATGAGTAAAACCGAAGAATTTCTGCAGGCTTTACTTGATTCATAATAAAAATACGACTTTCATTCTGCTTAAAGGCATATATATTATTGCCATATATGTTTATTTAATTTTTGAAAAAGATTTATTTATTTTTTAGAGAGTAAGCAGAGAGCACAAGTTGAGGGGGAGGGGAGAGATAGACAATCTTCAAGTGGACTCCCAGCTGAGCATGGAGCCCAGCTCTCATGACCCATGAGATCATGACCTGATCTGAAACAAAGAGTGGGACACTTAACTAACTGAACCACCCAGACACCACTAAATTTTAGTTTTTGGCCATCATAAGTTTCCAGAGGGCAGGGACCTTGTCTTGCTCACTACTAATTCCCAAAGACCAAAGTTGTACTCGCACATGTTAAATAAATGAATAAAATTTTATACATGTAGTTCTTTTTTATTTAATTGTTGACTTTCTTCCTCCACACTAGATTGTAAGCATCATGAAAATAGGCTCTGTGTATATCCATTACTATTTACGCTGTTAGTATTTTTTTTAATTTTTTTTTTATTTATTTATGATAGTCACACACAGAGAGAGAGAGGCAGAGACACAGGCAGAGGGAGAAGCAGGCTCCACGCACCAGGAGCCCGACGTGGGATTCGATCCCCGGTCTCCAGGATCGCGCCCCGGGCCAAAAGCAGGCGCCAAACCGCTGCGCCACCCAGGGATCTCTATGCTGCTTGTATTAAGGAAAGAAGGCACTCAAGAGAGCTGTTGAATGAATGAATAACCAAAAAAAGAAAAAAAAGAAAAAAGTAATGAGAAAAAGATTTAAACCACATTTCTCTGTGAAAGTAAATTAGAATAACTTGGAGAAAACAAAATATCCCAATACTGTTATTTTGGTAATTAAGTTACTGAAATATATAATTAGCTATTTTAAAATTATATATTAAGTAGGTATCCTACATTATTTCCAAAATGTAATACACATGCTTAATATTTTTTAAAAAAATATTAAGTCATATTTTTAAAAAATACTCATTTAAATTTTTTTGTTAAAGTTCAAGATTTGTTATAAAGAAATAAAAGACTTGGTCCTATATATCTCAGAAAAAAGAGCTTAGCAAAGGCAGATCATTTGACATTTATGAAAATATCCAGGTAGATTTCTACTATCAGTCTTATAGGCTGCTTTACTGAACTTAAATAATTTATACTACTTTTGGATTGTCTACTCTCTAATGGTAGAGTTATATATTATCTGACAGCTGTGCTCTTAATGGAGTAAAAGAACCAGGGAAGAGTTGAAACATGTAACTATTCACTGACATATAACATGGACCATTAAGTTTAAATATGTTCTAACCAAGAGCCATTTTAATAATTTAGATTTTCTTATGGTCCAGGTACAAGCCAAATGGCTAATACTTCTACTTAGAATTCTGAGTTTCCCAACTGTGCAAATGCTCAGAACCACTTATTTCTCTCTCATTTAAAAAATTTGCTCCCAGGAAACTAGTGGTCCATCAATTTTCTGGTCCATGGAATCCTTGACAAGTTAATACCATGCATACTTTGAGGATGAGAATAAATGGTCATGGAGAGGCAGAGGTTGGAAGTAAATGCAGGTGCAAAGAAAGCACATTTGGAGATATTAAGATATGAAGATTGGATATTTAAAATTTGCTCATTTTACTTGCTAAAATGTAAAAACTTAAATGATACATTTAGGAAAGCATGCAGACTCTGCTCATGTTTCCAAACCAGCACAGCTTAACTGAAATATTCTAAGGTAACCCAGTATTTGAAATAATATTCACTTAAATACCATCTATTCTCATACTGACCCAAATGCCTTGCAGAGCCCTAATTAACTCAGAAGAATCTCTACAAAGTAGAAATGAAGGAACTTTGAACGGTAATTTTTGTTATGGATAAGAAAACAAGTGCCAAGTCAGGGTACATTCCACAGCACACTATTTCAACAACAACAAAAAGTTCTAAATAATACTTACAAACACAATTAAATGTAGGTTAAGAAAGTCTTGTTATTTGGCCAATTTGTTGTAATAGGTTGAGACCTACTCTTAAAACAGAAACACTTGTAGGACTTTATAAAGACAGGAAGAAAATGAACTAATACTATAAATAGCTAACATTTATTGATCTCTTAACAAATCTTAGGCACTATATGAAGAATTGTATAAACATTATCCCATTAAATTATCTATCTATGAGCTACTAGATGTGATATGAGGATCTATGAGTTACTAGCATGATTCATATCTTCCTATAAAGAAAATCAAGGTAATAAGATATCCAATTAAAGAGTTCAATTAAGGAAATCAAGATAATAAGATATTAAAAACTTGCCTTTGACAACAGAGATAGTAATAGACTAGGATTTGACCTTAGGTAGTCCAATTTCAGGGGCCTTGTGCACTTTTTTGATGAGAAATAAACATGGCATAAACAAGAAGTGAATTACATTAGGATTCAGCAAACTTTTTTGCAAAGAACGAGAGTAAATATTAGACTCTAAATCACTTGCAGGGGGATCCCTGGGTGGCTCAGCGGTTTGGCGCCTGCCTTTGGCCCAGGGCGCGATCCTGGAGACCCGGGATCGAGTCCCGTGTTGGGCTCCCAGCATGGAGCCTGCTTCTCCCTTCTGTGTCTCTGCCTCTCTCTCTCTCTCTCTCTCTGTGTCTATCACGGATAAAAATAAATAAATAAATCTTTAAATCACTTACAGTCTCTGCTGCATATTTTTTTAAATAAAGTTTTTAAAATGTAAAAACCAGCCTTTGCTTTCAGGTTATACATAAATAGACTACAGACCAAAAGCTGTAGTGGTTTAACAATAACTTTATTGTTTAAATCGATTTAAATTGTTTAAATTGATTAAACAATAACTAGGATAAGAATATGTTTTTGATGACTGGGATCAAGAAACAGTAATGTAAACTAAGTAAAAGAGAGAGATCCCCAAAATTGATAAGATTAGGTCAATTGCCTCTAAATCTAAGGTTCAGGAAAACAAACCACCGATGCCTGTAAGAACTAGAGACAGAAATAGCAATTGTGACTGGACGGTGACTCATAGGCACTGTCGGCTTGGCATACAAAGACAGCTCTGTCATCAGCTTTGAAATGGAAACTGCTAGAAACAGAGGCAAGAAATTCATGTTCTGGTCTTTAACTAGAATTTTTTTTTTTCCCAGAGATCCATTCAGCTCAACCTATGTTTGTTCAGAGATATCAGTAGCTCCAACAGAAGGAAAAACATAAGTACTTAATTATGAAACCTACCTTTATCCTGAAACAAACAGAGGCACCTAGGGGGCTTAGTTGGTTAAGTGTCTGACTTTGGCTCAGGTCATAATCTCAGGGTCCTGGGATGGAGCCCTGAGTCTGGCTCCCAGCTCAATGGAGAGCCTGCTTTTCCCTCTTCTCCCTCTACCTCTGCTACTCCCCTTTCTTATGCTCTCTCTCTCTCTGTCAAATAAATAAAATATTAAAAAAAAAGAAAGAAAGCCTGAAACAAAGCAGGCAAATAATAAAGCAGCAATTTTTAAAACATCGCTTATCAGACAACAAGGGGCCATGATTCATGGGAGATGGAAAACAAACAAGGTGAGTTCTGTGATTGCCCCAGCCTGTCATGTTTACAGTTTGCAGGCCACACACAAGGAAGAGGAACTGAGGACAACACTGGAAAAAACCTGAATTGAGAAAGACAAAGGCAGCAGGAGTTCAGGGAAGAGCACAAGAAAACAGCAGTGATGCAGTTTTGGAATATAGGTGAGGTTTGATGGGCTGAGGTCCGGAGCCAATGACCAAGAAAAAATTCTTGAGACATCTTTGGTGCAAATGGTGGTTTCTTTAAAGTATAGGGATAGGACCCATGCACAGGAAGATCTGCTGCCCCAGGACTGTGAGGGGTAGCTGATTATATACCTGGGAGTTGGGAGGGGTTTGAGAATAGCGTACTGTCTAAGGAATTTTGGAAGCCAGGTTTGCAAGACCTTGAGGGGGCTAGCTATTATTGGGAAAAGGTCACTTATTGCCATCTAATAAAACTTGAGTCATGAGAGCCTTCAGATGTATATCAGTGGGCCATGTGCATGGGGGGATGATTGCCAGTGTGTATCTTGCGGGGGGGGGGGGAGTTCAGAGATAAAGGAAACTTCTAAAGCAATTTTTATATGTTAAAGTAGACGTACAGGGTCCTGGGGTTGGGTTAAGATTGCCTTCTGCCCTTAGCAAAGTATGAACATCAAGGCAGTTGAGTCTGTAGAGGAATGTCCCTCTGCTTATTTCAAGGACTTCTCAATATGCTGCCCCAAGATTGTGCTTTGTCCTCAGCTAGCCCTGTGTTCCCCCATCAGCTGCACAGAGAGAGAACCCAAGACATTTGCAGAGAGTCCTCCATGAGCAATCAGCAGGGAACAAATCAGAGCATGCATGTAAGGAATTGCTGGAGAACTGGGAAAAAGAATCCTCCAACAAGAACAGGGAAAGTAATACGCAGTGTTCACCTAGGCTAAGCAATAGTGCCCTTTCTCAACAGCACCCTGGGAAAGAGCACACAGTTCATAGATCACTAAGAAGAATCCTTAGAAAATCTCCCCTTGATTATGGAGAACGGTTAACTCCAGGATGAAAACTTCCTTGGCACTGCCCAACAGTCATAAAAGGAATAACCAGAAGCATAACAGTGTTTCTATATAATTTAAATGCATTTCACAATAAAATTTAGGAATATTTCTAGCATACAAATATATCTAGCATTGACTTGGGTAAAATTAACAATGTCTAGCTTTCAGATGAAGATTAACAGTAATGCCAAGAGTCAGAAAAACATGACTCCCTAGGGTGGCTCAATGGTTGAACATCTGCCTGCAGATCAGGGCATGATCCTGAGATCTCAGAATCAAGTCCCAAATTGGGCCCCCCCTCTGTCTGTCTCTGCCTCTCTCTTTGTGTCTCTCATGAATAAATAAATAAAATCTTTAAGAAAAAAAAAGAAATAAAAAAAAAGAAAAGAAAAACATGACCCTCATGGGAGATGAGATTGTGAGGAAAAAAAAATAACCAAAACCAATCCATAGGTTAGAACTAAAAGGTACAGACTTAAAATAGTTAGAATTAAAAGGTGCACAAATGAAAATAGCTAATATGTTCTTAATACATTCATATATTTAAAAAGCTGCATAAAGACATGGAAAATACTTTTAAAAGCAATAAGGGCATCTGGCTGGTTCAGTCGATAGAGCATATGACTCTTGATCTCTGAGTTGTGAGTTTGAGCACCACATTGTGTATAGAGATTGTGTAAAAATAAAATCTTTAAAAACAACAACAACAAAGCACCCTTCTGGAAATGAAAACTATTAAGTGTAAGATGAAAACCACACTGGAAGATATTAATGACAGATAGCAGAAAAGATAAATGGACTTGAAGATATAACAATAGAAACTATCAAATGTGAGACATGAGAGAAAAGAACTTTAAAAGGCAAGGAAAGAAAGAAGGAAAGGAAAGGGGGAAGGAGGGAAGGAAAAAAGGAAAGAAAGAAGCAGGGTACTGTGGGATAACTTCTGGTCACCTAATATACATGTCATTGGAGTCCCTGAACAGTGTGTGGGGGGTCCAGGGTGAAGCAGAATACATATTTGAATAGTTTACAACTTAATAGCTTAAATTTTGCCAATCTTGGTCAAAAAGCAAAAAGAATTCATCACAAGCAGACCTTTGAAACAGAAAATGACAAAGGAAATCTTTCAAGACAAATGAAAATATCACACGATGATAATGTCAATCTAGAAAAAAAATGAAGAGCGTCAGAAATAGTAATTACATGAGTAAGTGCATAGTTTTTTTATTATTATTTAAATGTCTCTAAAAGCTGATTTACTCTTGGGGTGCCTGGGTAGCTCAGTCCCTTGAGCAGCCAATTCTTGGTTTTGGCTCAAATCATGATCCCAGAGTTGTGGGATTAAGCCCTGTGCCTGCTGGAGATTCTCTCTCCCTCTCCTCAACCTTCCCCTGAACATACAAACTCTCTCTCTCATAAAGAAATAAAATCTTTTTTTAAAAAAAATATGGTTTACTCCTTAAGCAAAAATAATAACTATGTATTTTGGTTTATAACATATACAAAAACGAAATGTATGATAACATCGGCATTACAGATAGGAGAAGAGAAATGGAAGTATACTGCTATAAGGTTCTATTCCTAAACATCAAATTGTATAATATCACTTCAAGGTAAACTATAATAAGTCATCGTGTGTATAATAAATACTGAAACAACTATAGAAGTTACAAAATGAAGAGAAAAATCCAATAAGAGAATAGGGAGATAAAAATAGGGTAGTTAATTAATACAAAAGGGGGTAGGGAAGGATGGCTGGGTGGCTCATCTGCTAGGCATTTCATTTCAACTCACGTCATGATCTCAGGATCTTTGGATTGAGCTTTGCATCAGGCTTTGTTCTCCTCATTCTGAGTTCAGCAGGGAGTCTGCTTCTTGCCCTCTCCCTCTCCTTCTGCCCTTTCCCCCACCTGTGTGCATACGTGCTCTCTCTCTCTCTCTCTTTCAACTAAATGAATAAAATCCTAAAAACCATAAAAGGGACAGGAAAAGGAAAAGGGAACAAAGGTAAGTTGAGACAGATGGAAAAAAAATATCAGAAAGATTTAAATCTAATCATATCAAAATCACATTAAATGTAAATGGTTTAAACACCCAAAGGACAGAAATTGTCAAATTATATAAAATAGCAAGACTCAATTATATTTTACATAAAAGAAACATATTCTAAGTATATATAGAAAAAATATGTTAAAAGTAAAAGGCCTGAAAAGGATATATCATGTTCACATTACTTAGAGAAAACCAGGAGTAGCTATATGGTTATATTAATTTCAGACAGATAGATACATAGCAAACATTATTAACAGAGATAAATAAGTTCATCTCGAGGCACATGGGTGGTTCAGTGGTTGAGCATCTGCCTTTGGCTCAGGTTGTGATCCTGGGGTCCTGGGATCGAGTCCCACATTGGGCTCCCCTGGGGAGCCTGCTTCTCCTTCTGCCTATGTCTGCCTCTCTTTCTCTGTGTCTCTCTTGAATAAATAAATAAAATCATTTTTTTAAAAGAAGTTCATCTCATAATGATATAGAGGTTAATTCACCAAGAGGGAATAACAATCCACAATATTTATGCCTCTATTATCAGAGCTTTAAAATATATGAAGCAAAAACTGATAGAACTACAAGAGGAACAGACAAAATTATAATTATGGTCAGATGTTTAGATATTTCTTTTTCAATAATTGATACAATAATTGGCCTCCAAATCATCAAAGATATAGTAGATTTGAACTAAGTCATCAACCACTTACATCTGATGTACATTTTTAGAACACTCCATTTAACTGAAGGATGCATATTCTCCTTAGGTACACATGACAAATTTAATGACAGGTCTCAATAAATGTAAATGATCAAGTTATAGAAAGTTTGTTCTCTGCCCAGAATAGAATTAAATTGAAAATTTATAGCACAATGATCTCTGGAAATCCCCAAATATTTGGAAACTGAATAACACTTTCCTGAATAGGCAATTAATCAAAGAGGTTGTTGGGGAAGGTCTTTGAAAAAAAAAAAAAATGTAATTGCCAGGTTGCCTGTGAACTAACCTCTGGGAAGCTCCTCACAGCCTTCTCTGTTTTTGGATGTGGATTCCTCTTGCTTTTCCCACTCTCAGAGGCTGCTCCAAGGACATAGGCTTGAGATGATGAAGTGGTGTTGAGAATGGCTGTATAGCATATGTGATTGAACCTAGTTAAGGTCTCTACAAAAACTTTTAAATTGGTAGGCGTGAGGATTCCCTGGTCTTATGGCCACCCAAGACACGCTCTGTATGTAAGTTTCCTTTGCTTATTAAACCTGACACCTACCAATCTGGAAAGATCTGCCTCTTTCCTTCATCTCCTTCTGCCTTTGGTTAATATGAAACTGGTTTCAGACTACGTGGAGGAAACTCCCAAGATTTCAAACCAACAACTGTAGAGCTAGCCAGAAGACTGAAGAAACAAACCACGGGCAAGAGGGACCCTCAGGGAATCCATTGACTTCTATGTGGGGTCTTCTATCCACATGTCAGATGTTTGTGGACCACTGCCTGACTACAGAGACACCCCGAAAGCTCTGGCTGCTGTAATGTGCTTATTGGAGAAACTGTGGATATCACGCTGCGGCAAAGAAGGGAAGCAGGAACATATGGTTGCCGCAGTGGGCTGGCCTTGACTGTGAGCAGCTCAGCTGGCCTCAAAT